AGAGAAACTGAGTCATTTGACTGAAATCTGCTTTCTTCCACTTCAGTCTTATTTCAAAATTACTTCCAACTATCTCAAGATATTGCTCTTCCTCATGAGCTCAGTAAAATTTTAGGCCATTACTGAAGTCAGAGGCCAGTTTTCTTCTCGACCATATAGATGAGGAAATGTTGACTTAAGAGACCACACTCTAGCCCTTTACTTTAAAGTTATTTTCCAGTGACCTGACTGTCAAGTAGACGAGATAAAAGCTCTGCCCTATTCTGAGGGAGATGGTTTATAAAAAGATGTTCTGAAACCCCACATTACTAGACCCATAGTGGTAAATAACCTGTGAATCTGCTGAACCTGGAAAATGTAGCTTTAAATGAATTCTGCTACTCCCACTCTCTAAAAATTCAGTTAGAAATCTCTAGAAATTTCAGCTAGAAATTGAGTTTTCAGATGCCTTGGAGCAACTAAAGAGAAAAGAAAGTACACTCATGCCCTCATTAACCATTTCTCAACCTCTTGTCCCTCCCAAGCTACCAGCCACCCGAACTCATAAAAAGCAAGACAGCAATGAAAGGCTTCAGGTGGAAACACTGGCAAAATCCTCGTTGATTGGCTTATTTGAAAGAGCTGAGGGACACTCACTGATTGTCAATCAGTTCTACTGCTCCAGGTAGCCTACCATGGCACCTCCTCAACCTGCCAGCTACCTCAAGGTGCACAATCACACGACCTGCGATCAGAAAGGCGGAAACCTTAGGAAGGACATCCACAGGAACAAAGTGTGGAGATCAGACTGCACTCTGGGCAGCAGGCAACACAAACAAAACACCCTGACAATGGCTTGTGCCTGGAAGCTGCCCACCATCTAAACCACCTCAGTGATCTGGGACTTGCACTGAGGGACTTGCTTGAATGAACCCACTGCAACCTACAGTGAGCCCTGGGCTCACTCTTTCCTGCTTGGATGGAGACGTGTTCTGCACTTCACAAATATGTCCAGGTGTTAAAAATGTAACATGGTGATCATATTTAGTACTTTAAGGCACACAGCTCTTCCTTTGTCAAAGGAGCTACAGATATATACAGATATATACAATATAGCCAAAAAATGCAGATACAAATTATTTTTTCCATGTCTGTATGCCAACATTTTTGTTTTAGAAAGAAATACCTGAAAAAAATATTTTTTTTTCCAAATAAACACTTCCAGTGAGACAATAACACTAGTTTTAGGTTACTTACACTAAAAATGATATGTTTTACTTTTAAAATAAAAAGAGGCACTTCTACATTTCTATATGCTCAAAATTTCTTAAGTACTTTTCAGTGTAAAAAAACACTGACTTAGGAAGAAAGTGTGGGAAACATAATTTTCCCATATTTTTGAAACTTCCTTAATAACTGGAATTTCCCAATGGAATAGTTAGGCTGCCTCTAGTAATTAACTTTGTAGAAGGAAACCAGCTTAACAGATTTTCTGGCAAAACCCTGCCAAGACCCAGGATTAGTTTGGCAAAGAGACAAGAGGATCTCTGTGATTTTGATCAGGGAAAAGAACAGCCAGTGAGTGCTGTCTATAATCAGGAGGACTTGATATTTAAAGAACAGAATGGATGGCGAATTTACAGTGTGCCATGAGCTGTATGGCATATCTTGCTGTAGGGCAAGATATGTTCACATCTTGCCACCAAATTTCACACCACACATCACTGAAAAAATACAGATGACAGTGCTGTAAGTGACTGGTAGTGGGGAGGATGAGACTGCAGAAGTTTGGATTAGTTCAGTTAGCGCAGGATTTAAATAAATCTCTTCCTGCTTAATTCACCAAAGAAGAAATGTTCCAAAGGCGCTGGTCGGAACTGAAAAGAAGAAAACAAAAGCCAAAGAAAGCATGGAGGTACAACCATAAGCCAGACACCTTCTTCCAAACCATATGATGACTGACCTAGTCATGTATGATTACCTGGATAATATTGTACCTATTTAAGTTGGAATGGGTCTAAGATGATTGCCACAGGATACTCGGTAGATGAAGAATAAGACAGTTATATGAAATTAAACAAGAAACATTTCTTCATACAGTTTGAAGTGTACCTGCAGAATTGTCTGCTTTAGAGGAATGTAGGGTCAAAAGTGGAGGCTGGAGAGAGAATGAAAGGAGCATTTTATTACCACTAAAAAAATGTGTCATCCAGTATGATTTAAAAAAAAAAAAAAAAAAAGATAATAAAATCTCATGGTTCAGTAGGAAAGTTCCCTGTGGGACTTTGGGAATAATTCTTCTGCCAAGCTCTGTTATTGTGCTATAGGTTAGATACATCATATGTTTCCCTCCAACACTTCTGAAATATTAGCTCCTAGATGCAAGGAAAGACAAGTTATTAGTACTATTTAAAGTATTTGCTGCACTGTGAAGGCACATGGAAGTAGCAAAGACAGCAAGTTCCTGATTCCTCTTCCATCTGAAATCAGAAAGAACTGATTTGTGACTTGGAATCAAAACTGAGTAGATTCACTGGATATCATTTAAAGATGAGGGTAGGAATTAGAAAAGTTAACGAATCCCTTGCTGGGGTGTTATACATCAGGGATGCAAAAGTGAGCATGACTGCATGAATCATATCAGCTTCAAAAGGTTCTTGACTCATACTGGATTTGATATAAAGAACTGCAGCCCATGCATGACAGATGCCACAGTACTCCTTGCACTTCAGAAGAAACACTCCATATGCAGAACACTGTAGAGGACCTATCCTCCGAAAGTTTTATGAGGAATTAGGATCTTATAATGGCAAAAGGCATTCCCTGAGAACAGAAAATGAATGGCTGTGGCAAGCAGCTTCCTAAATTGTGTAAGAAATTATTGTTTTAAACAGGGATTGGACAGGGATACCTTTTCTATAAGCCTTAATTCACTTGCATAGATTTCATTCTTCCCTTAAAAAAAAAAAAAGTTTGCTTGTGTGATGTATGTAAAGAATAGCTGCATGTATAGGGATTTGCATCAGAAGCTTTTCATTATTTAAAGCCACCTATAAGAACCTCACAAGTTTATGTAGGGCATCTACTACATGAACCCCCAAGAGTCAGCACTAATAATTCCAAAGGTTTGACAGCATTGTGCTGCTGGTTTTTCAATATTATTTTACAAGTATGATATTCTGGGGCTGCAAAGAACTCAAATAAAAAACCTAATAAGAAATCAAATAAAAGTATAATATGAGAGCCGTTAAAGAAGCCAGAGGCTAAGCCTCTTGCAGGCCTTTCCTTGTGGGAACGAGTAGGTACAAATAGCATTGAGAGTTTCAAATTTTGAGGGAACCTGAAAACTGCGAGATATAAAAATGTGATATCCCAGTGTTCCTGTGTTAAAAATAATATGTTACAGTTCATGAAGGTGCATACAGCTCATAAGAACTACAGTCATTGATACTGAATCTGTGAGTTGCATGTAGGCTTGAGGAAAACAATGATTATCCCATGGTATTCACAACCTGTTGTTATGTGGGAGAACTAAAGATTCCTTAGGAATCATGAGGGCAGTCCATGAATGAAGGTCCTAAATGCATGATTTCATTCTATAGTTTATAAGCAATACACTGCATTGAGAAACAGTTAAAAGAGGCTGCTGTTTATTGAAGTGACTATATTTTAAGCAATTTTCACAGACTTAGAAGATGTGGCAACTGAGCTGTAAAACAGTTAAATTAATATCTATTTTTATTATTGCTATTACACGATTTCTGCTTAAATTTGGTTGTTTCCCCTCCTACATTTGCTTCACCCTGTTGTTCACTCAACTAGGTAATCGATTGCTTATGTAAAATTAATACTCAAGGAAATTCCTGTTAGTTTCCAAAAGGAGTTTTGCTGGAGAGAAGGATGCAGCACTTGACAAGGAGTGTGCATGAGTATTTGTTTTTATTACTCTGTTCTGCTTTATTCTTTCCACAGCAAATAAGTAGGATTAAGGGAGCATATCCTGAATGATGGATGATAATTCTGAGCACTGCAACTAAATCTTTTGACTGCCTGGCTTAGAAGTACTTATTATCCTCATCAGCTTCTCTCATATCAATACTCCCACATTGTTATGTCTGTCTAACACACTGAGATAGTCTAGAGCAGTCAAAGGCCAGCTTAAAGAAAAAAAGAAAAGAACAATTAGCTCAAACAATTCTGATACTTGTTCTGGAAATTGGAAATTATTAGGAAACATGGAGGAAAGACACACACACTACTCATCTTGTCACTGTTCGGGATCATTCATCCATTCTTTGCTCTTCTTTAACAGCTGCTTTGTGTTTTGTACATTCTGGAATATTATCCTATCCATTCTTATTCCGTTCCAATTAATTCCTTCGTAGTATGCTCACAGTAGGAGCTTGGATACATGATCACACTATTTTATTTATCTTTGTCATAGATAGTTACATCACAGATAGATACAAAGGTAAATCAGATATTCTCAAAACAACCCCTGAGCTCAGTGTGGTTGGATGCAGAGCTTCAAAAGACCATGAAAAAGTTTGCAAATTTATCCACAGAGTCATAATGTCATTATTCTCCATGTCTATTTGGAAAATTTGGTTTCTCTTCTGAATATAGGGAAAAAGTTGTCAATTAGATTAATGTATGATTTTGGATCCATTATAGGAACGCTTCTCTGTTAGGAAAAAAAAGATGGATATCAGAATTCTTCTGTCATAGGCCAGTCTACTGTTCTGGTCACTGAACTGCATCATTCAAATCTCTGACCAAACAAGAATTTAGATTTCTCCTTTACACTGAAAGAGGATCTCCAACATATTTTAATTCTTTTTCTAGTCATTCCTATATTTTGTTAGAGGTTTTAAGAAACAACAAAAATATGTTGTTTTGGAAAATTCTGAAAGAAAAAGAAGCATGATCTCATTTGTTTTTTTTTAATGGGAGTTGATAAGGCTCTGAAATTTCAGAACCTTGCTTTAAAGTTTACCACGGGTGTTACTACAGATACTAACCTTCTGATGCTTCCAAACATCTGTGCGTGACCCAAAAATCTTCCAAAATCTATGTGGAACATGCGCCCAGCTTTTGTCAGCATGATGTTGTCACTGTGTCGATCACAGACTCCCAGAATGAAGGTAACGACACACCAGCCGGCACAGGAGTAAAAGAAATTCCTTACTGCCTAGTTGGGGAAATGAAAGCACTTACATGAAATACACAGATGCATTGGTTTGTGATGCTAACAAAACAAAAAAAGTAGTTCTACAAGTGCTGTGCTTGTTGCTAAAACTTTACCAGACTGGTGTTTGTAGGAACGGTACTCAAGCTATACAAAGATTCCAAAGTAACGATGCAAGAACAACTTTATGCATGAGGTTTTCACTTTGTGCTTTACAGATACTTGGGAGTCTCTGGAAAACTCTGAGGTGAAAGGTGCATTAGGAAAGCAAGCTTCTTGGCAGGAAGCTGAAATTTTCTGTTCAATGTTCTGCATGAATATTGTAAAAGCAATTGTTACAAAATTAGATGAAAATTCACAAATTTAACCATTTGCTTCATAAACAAAGTAGGTTATTTTATACCCACTGTCGTGTTCTGTACCAACACAGATCTTATTTTCTCCACAATTCAGTTGCCTTTCTCAAATCCTAATAATCAAGTCTCAAAATATCACAACCCAAAAAATTTACCCCCATTTTTCAGAAATGAACTGATATACAGAAAGGCTAAATAGTTTTCTGCTCACTATGTAATACAGAAACTCAAACCATCCTAATCTAGATCTTTATGTTTCTTTATGGACAAAACTTGTATCAGCTAAGGTAAATGATTATTTAGGCATCTGGGAATTCCCTGCAGATGCAGGGTGCCACCTGCAATGGCTGATATGGATGACAGCACTGTGCAAGACTTGGGTCCCAGCACAAGAGTTGGCTGAATTTTTTGCCTAACTGTGCTACTTACTCACTTTGATGACCTTGGATAAAATACTTAAGTTTTTGTGATTTTGTTCACTCGAGTGTAAAATGAGGATATTAAAGCTTGTTCTGCATCAATGTTTTGAGCACCTTAGATACAGTACTGTATGAGTAAAAAATTATTAAGGAGTAAAAGAAGACAAAGGTTCATTCACTAGCAAGTACAAAGTGAAGGCACAGCAGTAATTTTATGCATACCCTATGCAATCAGATCTGACTGCATTTTATATGCTTAAAAAATTGAAAGAAAATGGGTAGAAATTAGTTTTAGAATATTCCACATTAATGGCACTTTTTACAAACAGCAGCAGCAACAGCAGCAAGAAATAGAGTTTTCAATCAATAATTAATAGTATTTCACTTTTGAATTGAAATACTGCCTGCACTTCTACCATAACACTGTAAACATTCAAACTTGTAAAAAAACATACTACACAGATTGTTTCCTTTTTAACTGAATCAAATGATATACTATAAGAATTCAAGTGCTCTTAGTCAAAATGTGACTAAGGATGAACAAATGTCTGTGGAATAATTACGAAAATACTAAAGTTTATCAAACGTATTTATACTTTACATCTATTAATGAACTGCTCTGAAACCATTTCATTTTCAGAGTGGTAAATACTCAAAGAACATCTTTAAATTTAAAATTTTGACTACTGATTTACTGTTGGCACACAAAAGGGCTCTAAAAATCATCCCAGCAACACAAACATTAAAAGGTTTTTCATGGGCCTCAGCCAGCAAAGAACTAAATAGACTTCCTTGGAAAACCTTCACTTATATAAATAAAATTCCCAATTTTTTGGCTCAGGCACAAAATCTAGTTTCATAAAGTCAGATGCATTGCATGGGATGCCATGAGAACACATGATATGAAAAGCATGATCTTCTGTATCATATGACTAGGTAGTTTTGATAAAACAGCTTTCTAAAACTGGGGATACTGACATGGAAATCTCCGAATACAGGAAATCCACCAAAACTTTGTATGGTTCATATAAAATAAAATATTTAGAGAGCTGACCTAAAAAATAAATGTTTCTGCCTTCAAGATTTAATTTCTACTTCAGGTTCTCTTCACTTTACTGCTAAATTTCAAAAAATCTCTATGACACATTTTTACAGAAAAGGTAAAGTAATGCACCTGAAACAGAGCAATGTTTCCTTAGAAAGAGAGTGGCATTTAAGTCAGCTCCCTGACTTCTCCACATGTGACTTGTTTGTCTCGTGTCTGAGCCACTTGTTTTTGCTGCTTACTGTAATTTGGCTTCTTTTTTCCCGTGGTATAACAAGAAATGTGTAATAAGCTTCATTATGATGTTACCTCTTGGTAACTTGATTCCAGAGGATGGTGATGATGGAACCATTTTTTAATTGTGTTTTCTTTCAGTGGTCCTATCAGTCCAGACTCCCTGTGGATCTTTGCTAGTGTAGTAGCATCTGGCACCATCTGTACCAATCCTAATCAGACAGAAAAGAGATTGCATGAAAAATCTTCAGCTTTAAAAAGATATGAAGACCATCAATGCACATGGCCTGTTGTTGGATCATGTCATGCAAAAAAAAAAAGAAAGACATAATTAGAAGCTTATAAATAATGAATGCAACAGAAAATATAGATCAGCATTGTTTTTCTTTTGCTCTTTGGAAATGAAAAATGAAGGACATATAGTAAAAGGTGGCAGTTCTGTGAATGAGAAATAAAACCACCAATAACAACATTGTGGATAAAGTGCCTTAAGGTACCAACAAGGTCAACAACTTACTGAGATTCTAAGAGGGTAAAATATGTACAAACCTAAAAAAAAAATAGAAAATAGAATTATGTATTTATTATTACATATAAAGTTACTTCAGATGTGTTTATTGTCTAGAAAGCTACATGAATTTTTCTGCAGTACATGATGCTGATCACAGCTGGGAGAAAGGACAGATATGCAGAAAGTAGTCTGATGCAGTATGTCACAAACTGGGACTCTGAAGTGCAGAGAGAAGCCAAGCATTTTGCAATGCTTCACTTCAATCCTCTGTCTCTACTGCATGCACTTAATTCCATTTTTGGAACTGAGACTTGGCCTGCCAGCCTTCTGTGCCTGTCCCCATGTGTGGTCTGCTGGCATGCCATCCTTCAACTCTGCATTGCAGGAAGGGCTTTCTCTAACAATTTCAGCTGGTGAGAGGCTCCTCCCCGATACCACGTCTGGAACGTAGCATTCTACCAGTGCTGTATTTGCTTTTCTGTGAAAAGTGATTTCTGTGTTCCCTGGCCATGAAATTATCACCTTCTAGTCCCTTATGTGGACAAGGTGGCCTATGGAATAAGTCATTAGCCTAGGACTTGGAAAACCTGCTTACACAAGTCTCCTTAAGAAGGTGTCTTGCACGACCACAGGCATGTCACTCGTCCTTTTATCCTTAATCATTAACTGTAAATAAACGATATTAACACTTCTGTAACTCATAAGGAAAGATGGCTGGAAAAACTGTGAGACACCGAGCAGTTTTCTGCTGCTATGATGCTGAAAGGAAGAGCCTGTCAGGCAGAGACAATCCCTGTATCTTCCTTGGCAAAAATCAATTTATTGGTATATGAAAGAGTCTATATAAAATCTCAGGAATAGTATTCTTGTATTGTTTGCCTTTGAAGCAGAAGCTTTCAAGCTTTGACTCCCATCTCCACAAAGAAGGGAGGAGTCTTTTTCAGGTCACCATAACCACCTGCCATGTGCCTGAACTCATCTGTATTTTCTCTTAGTTCCTTCAGATCACTCGTCCTCTCCCATTTTCACTCCGTGGCTCAGAAAGCAATAATTTTTTTTCTTTTAGTTTTTCTATTTTAATAGCTTTTGTACAGCAGGTAATCTGGATACATCAGTCTTTTATTAGAGCAAGGATTATTTCCAGTAAAAGATTTGGTCAGTAAAAAATAGCAAGCTTACTGCTGTCAGCAGATTTCTTTAGCGAGCAATTGGTGTCCCTGCTACAGCTCTGCTATAACAACCACAGAAGAGAGAAATAAAGCTTTCAGATGAGTCAGGCCTGCTCTAAGCAACATCAATCAGAAGAACAATATTTCAAAATCAACTGCAAAGCTGTCATCACTTGTCTACAGGTACTTTCTGTAGCCATATGCATGGAGGCTCATTTAAGCATATATGTAGGACCACACTGGATTAAAACTTTAGTAGCTATGGCAAATTTTCTCCAAAGCCCTCTTTTTAATATGTGAAGTTATTCTTAAGAATCTAGTGCCAGCTGATGTTGTTGACGCTTTTGGAAAATTCTAACCTCAGTTGTTACAAAATCCAATGAGTTCAGTTGTACTTCTGGAGAGGCAGAATAAATAGACTAAAGTCAGTATTCAGGAGTAGGCAAGTATGTAATTAAAGGCTCAAGAAGTTTAAAATCTGATTTTTTTTTTTTTTTTTAATTTAAGTAGTAATATAGGTAAGACACCCATGAAAATGAAAGTTAAAGAGATGATTTTTGTGTACTTCCATTTACATGAAATATGAATAATGTAATGCAGGTTCCTTTTATAATCTAAAACTGACCTTGTCCTTTCCCTGTAGATAAACACCTATAAATGATCATTTGCATATCCAGTCCCTCTTGGAGCCAGATACCGTCCATCACTCGAATAATTTGCAGAACCAACATATCTTGACGTAGATCATCACCTATCTGTGAAAATTGCACATGAAATTTAGTTTTCTCCTTCAATACCAGAAAGAAATAACTTGCTATTTAATTTAGACTTTTTTTGCCCACCAAAATAGCTACATTCATTTTACAATAAATCCCTCTTGTTTTTCTTCAAAGTTGCTACTTATCTCTCTGTGTCAGAAGAGGACAGAGGAGATGGCACACATAGGCAGGAACAGTTTTGGCAGCTACTGAGATGGTAACAAATGCTCCCTGATTAACTGTGGCCTTTCTGCTTATTATTCCTATGTAATTATCAGACTTTGAAAATTTAATCCAGAGGTAGGATCCTAATTTAGTTACATTTTAAAGTCTACCTAATGCTAGACCTTTTTTTACAAACTGCAGCGCTTGTCTAACATTAAGCTTCACAAGCTGGTATTTGCAGGAGGCTGAAGGGGAATTTTATCATGAATTTACATTTTATCCATGACACGATTCATATTCAGTTTCAAACAGTGATGCAGTGATGAACCCTCTCCCCATGGAGTTGGTCAAACAATAATCTCAGTGAAATGGGGCTTTAATTGTAGCCACAAGAATTAATGAAGAGATTATTTTCTGCCATGGCTGAGTAAACGGCCTGTGAAAACAACAGCCCTGACTTTTTGTTTTCCCATCTCGCTCTATGTAAAATATATGACTTTTATTAGTATCTAAAGTGCTTTATTTTTTCATTACATCCTTTTCATATAAACATTCCAATTTACAGACGTTTACTGCCATGAAATGAGTACTTGAAGAGACATAAAACTCATCTTAAAACCAAAATATCCAGATCTGTTTTTCTTTCATTTAAAGGTAACGTTGACCCCAAGTAACTCTTGGTACCCAAACCTGCAAAAAATCTTACTCTCTCCACTTACCTTTCCTCACATATGCAGTCAGTAGACAGCTTAGCACAGTATCAGTGCTTATCACTTTATGCATGCATCATCTGTCATGAATAAGCAATGGAACTATAGTACAAGTAAAAGGTACTTTAACACAATGGTTTGCTGGCAGGAGAAGGTGCTTCTTAGATTAAATAGCATAAGAAACAGATTTCTAAATGTTCAGAAAACCTTCAAAATTGCTAGTCTCCCCTAACAGGCCTTAAGATTCATGTTTCTGAGAACTGCAGCAGCTCTAAAGATCAGTTTAAAATCAAGGTAGCATAGAAATCTTTTTGTTTGTTTGTTCTTATTTATTTTTATCAATTTTTTAGACTTCTAGTTTAGAAAATGATTCTGCAAAAGATCTAGGAATGATGCCATTGGCAACACTAACCATTTTGTATCCATCAGCATTTTATGGATTTGTGTTCTTCTCTTAAAACCAGTATTCACTCTTAGGGAAACTTTTGCTCTTTTGAAAGAGAACTAACTTTAAAATGCATTTATTATCTTTCTGTAGATGGACTGTTGTGAACTCTTCAGTTTTTCTAGGTGACAACTGGAAAATAAACCAGAGTTTATTTTCAGAGAATTTATTTTTGGAGTCAGTTCCTCCAAGAAACTCCAATGAGACGGAGCTCCTCTCCTGTCTCCTCCAGCTCATGTTCCTCAGCCCATTCCCCTGTGCTGGCTGACAAGGGGAGAATTAGTTCTGTGAGGCAAATGCAGCTTCTAACCATCGAGTATTTTAATTTTTTTAGAAACATATGGGAAAAGCTAATGGTTTCAGTCGTTCTGACCTATCTCTTTCTTCTCTGAGACTTACCTTCTGACTTCAGTGTGATAAACTAGCTTAAAAATATAAACTTTGTATTTTAGTCTCATTGTCTTCACTAGGAAAAAAAATTGGAAGAAATTGTTTGATTCTCTACTGATCAAAGAGGTGATACTTTAGTGTATTGCCTCAACATATTCCATTAAAAGTTCTAATGTCAAAAATAATAGGGATAATTGAGCAGCAAAACCAAATCAGCTATTCTCAGGCTCAAGGTTTAAAACATAAATTAGGTGAATTTTAAGTCATCATTTTCCATACCAAAGACTCCAAGGAATAGAGAAACAACATACCTTAAAAATAACATTGATGTTCCCACTTGGAGCATTCGCGTTAATGAAGGAGATTTTTAACGGAAAAGCATTGGATGTAAAATATGAACATGACTTTGGGGAAAACAAGATGAGACAGAAGAACATCAAGGTCACATACACAAAACATCAGGTCAAAACAGTAACTCTGAAAAATATACCATCTTTAAATACTGTTCATAGCACTGATAACGAATAAGAAATAAAATAATTCTTGATATTACTGACAGTTTAACTGGGTCTGAAAAATGACCCAGACAATGTTTCTCTTTCATATCAGATAATAAGAATGGATAATGTTTTCTATATTAATTGTCTTTCATTTTTACCCAGGCCTACTAATGATAGGTTTTGGCTGGAACTGAGTGGTCAAAGTATGTAAGACTGATCTAATGAGAATCTGTAAAGCATTGAAAAGCCCTGGGTCCTATTATTTTCTGAAAAACCACCCCTACCCAATCAGACAATCTTTACGGAAGCAAAGAACCTGCAAATTTCTTTGGCAACCTCACCCTGGCTGACGCTACAGGAAATTCCGAAAATCATGATCTATTTTATATGTAATTTATCTTAATTAAACATAAACTCTATCTTCTCATGCCCTACAGCTCCTTCCACCGGAAGACCTCAAAGGGCTTCAAAAAGCATTAATGAGCCAAGCACTGCAAATCCTGTGTGAGTTAGGGTGGTATTACTATTCTCATTAAAAAAAAGGGGGGGGAGAACCCACTGAAAAACTACCAAAACCAAGGGTAAATTAATGCCCTGGTTTCTAGAAATAATGAATGCCCCACAAGAGCTACTGCTGTCCTTACAGGGTGGAGTGTAATGCAGGCTAATTTGAACAAAAACCCTACCAGACACAGCTGTCCCTGGCTTTTCATCTAAACATCTCAAAGCATGGGACAAGCATGCAAATATTGTCTTAGCCACATCAAACCTCTGCAAAGTGCAGTAGCCATTATCAGTGCTGAAATCCCAACCCCCTATGGAATTTTGCCAGTTGAAATGTCTCAGTAAGTGCTTGAAAGGTTACTGTGAGATAACGCACCACTGATAGAGCTGGGAGCAGTGCTTGCTACTGGTAAAATCAATAGATGACACCAAAATGAATTAAATTTAAGGTAATTATAAGCACTTAAAAGTTCTAATTTGCATGATTATACTGACGTACAGTTCAATCAAGGAGCTGGATGTATTTATAGAAAGATAATAGCCTATAATGACATAAGAAAAATGAAAAAAAAAATATGTCTCTTCAGACACTTACATTTAAACATTTTTGTATCTGTCCAGCCAAGCTGGAGCAGTATAAATAGCATGACTTTATGGTGAGATACCTTCCCATTAGTCATTTCCAAAAAGCCTGAAAGCAGGGAGAAGCAGCAGGCTTCAAATTTTTCTGACTTATCTCATACACAATTGGCCCAAGCCTGTGGGGTGCTGGAAGACCTCAGTTCTCAGCCAGATCAATGCTGAATAGCAATTACTTGGAGAAACACAGGTCAAAGACAATTGAAGGGATCGGCCCCTCTTAGACTCAGGTCCACTATGGATAATGAACCAGAGAACAGAAATAGAGCACAAATTGCTGTAATGAGAAGCTATAACCGGTAACATATAGGGGTGTTCAGGTTTGTTTTTTTCTTGATGCTGGATACATTTTCCTTCTCCAGAGATGGAACAGGTTATTCCTGGCATAATGTTGTTTATGAAAACATTTCTGAACAAAGAATAACTGAATCTTAGTGCTGTGGTCAAAGACAAGTCAAGTATCACTAAAGAGCATTGTTGTTTCCTTTACTCTTAAGTCATTTTTAATAGGGGTTATAGACAGAGGTAAGTTGCCATGAATATTTAATATTTTAGTAATTCTGAGCGAGTCTCAGCTAAGCAAACAGACACTTTGCTCTAGACCTTTAGCTGTTCCCATACATGACAGGGGAGAGTTCTAGATGAGAAAAAAACTGACACCAAGAGCTACCTGGACAGGCAGGATGGCAACCAGGGCTCAGTTTCAGGGATGCCAAGTGCCCTTGCCAATCCCACCACCACAGCAGGGCAGGTGAGATGGGAATGGGCTGCTCAGAGTTTGAAATCTCTGATACCATTGCTGTGTAATGTGTGACATACATGCAGCAACAACCCCACCAGACCCTTCTCCTTAAAAAAAAGCCTCCAGTCTAAAGAGGATTAGGCTGATGTCAGTTTACCAGATGCTTAATCTCAGTAAGATCATTTCCCAGTCAATGCAGGCACTCCCTTCCTCTCCCCTTTATACTAAGCAATAAAATTAAAAAGGCAATCCATCACTCAAGGTAGACTTACATCCGCCTCTATGCCTTGGACAACAAGTGCGGGATTCAGGGGAAGCCGGCAAGCCTTTACCTCCTGGAAGAACTGCTGAAGGCTGCTGAGTTCCACCTCTAACACCTCCTGCAACACGTGAAGCATTATGGCAACACAAAAGAACACACCACCACCTTTTAAGCTGTTGACTGGCTTTCTGTATTTTAAACAAGCAGTACAATTTCTAGAGCCAGTAGCATCCCTGTGACTTTTATAACAGCTAATGAGGTCACAATGACATGCAGTTCTTAAAATAAGAAGCATGATTTTACTCCACATTGATGCTTTCTTGGCCTAGATGCACAACGAGCTCAGTGGTGACCTGTAGGTTTAGATGGAGATGGAGAGAGACTATTTACAAGAGCTTCTACTGACTGACAGGACAAGTGGAAACTGCTTCAAATTGAAAGAGGGCAGGTTTAGATTAGATATTGGGAAAAAACTCTTTTCTGTGAGAGTGGTGAGACCCCGGAGTAGATTGCCCAGAGAAGCTGTGGGTGCCTCATCCCTGCGAGACCAGGTTGGATGGGGCTTTGAGCAATCTAGTCTGGTGAAAGGTGTCACTGCCCAAGGCAGGGGGGTTGGAACTGGATGATCTTTAAGGTCCCTTCCAACCCAGACATTTCTATGATTCAATAACCTTCATTAGCAGCTAATCAGCCTTGTATTGCTCTGCTCCATCTCATGGGTTTTTTTGCCTTGCCCAAGAACTTCATAATTTGCTGCTAGTTGTCTCAACAGTGTGATCTCCTTTGAGTGGAGATAACTCTGTGTGTTAACTGCACGGTTTGGGTACTTCTCAGAATCACAGTAACTGCAGCCTTGAGATTAAACCCTTAAATCTGAATTATGCATCAGGAATGTATAATGTATTACCACTATTTCTTTTTCTTTACATGGATTTTCCTTTTGCAAATATTTTTGTCTTTTTACTTCCTCGTTTGCTTTGCTGCTCTCAGTCACAACACTGAGAGTTTTCTGAAAAATCCTTTGAAAATCTTTGAATCCTTAACAAGGCAAAAAGATTCATGATATCTTTCATGACAACCAGCAGTGGAAAGATATTTTTATTTGCCTTTCTGCTCTGTCTTGCTGAGATTTCAGCAAGAAGCAGTTTTACACATCAGGTAAGTAACAACAGAACAACAACTGTCTTGGAAAATTAATAGTTTTGAACTGAAAATGTACTTATGTAAGATAAAAGCTGCAACTGCTCGAGAAGGCAACTGCAACTTCCTACTGCCAGGAATGTATCTCTGCAGGTATGTGTTCAATATTTGTTGCTAAATGTTAGATTTGAGATATTAAGTACATTCCACTCTGGCTGCCTTTGTTAAGAAATGACAATGTGTCCAGCCTGTCAAGGACAATCTTAGCAAAGCTTTCAAGAAATGCTGCACTTAGAAAGGAGTCAAATATTTTGGGATGAGGTGGTGAATGTGAGCATTCCTCTCAGTAAAATGCTAATCAGCTTTGTTGCCATTACTTCTGGACACCTCCAAGTCAGGTTAAGCAACCACTGATGAAGGAATTTGAATGACTTAAAAGATCTGCTAACCTCAATACTAATAGGGATGAGAGTTATTCCATTAAATATCTATGTTTTACTTGTTTCCAGAGCAGCAAAAAATTTTACAAAGTTTAGTCAAATTTGGTTTATTTATGTAAAGGTCATTAAAGGAAACAGGTATCACTCTAGAAAAATTACCTGAAGAAACTTAGATGGAAGGGGCAGTATTTTTTAACAAACCTTTCTTTTTGGGTCAGTGGCAGCTTTCACTTTTGTGGCAATGTCTTCCAGAATTCTGATGAGTTTTTCCTCCTTAGAAAACTCATTGTTCAGGGTTTGTCCAGCACAGAATTGGAGAGCAGCCAGTAGTTTCTTATACCAGATTTTGAAATGAACTTCATTCTGTGCATTCTTCAACAGCCTGAAGGAAGGAGGAAAAAAAAACATGTGTGTATCAAAAACTGATTTTTATTTTATATCACTTCTAGCAGGAACAATAAATGAACTCGAGAGTAATCTATGTTTGGTGATTTTGAGCAGTAGAGAAAGAAAAAAATGTTTATTTGTACACAGCACTCAAGCCCCATTTCATAACTAATGAGACTCCAAGAGTGTTAAATAAACAGGAACCTGCCATTTCTTATTGCCATCCACAGTGCAGAGCCTGTAGTGCTTCTTATTTCTGCGCAGGCTGGAAGGTGTAAAGACCTTCCCCGGATCTTCGCTCGCAAAGACTGGCCATTATTATTATCTTTATGCTTTTTTATTGCTGTATTATTATATATTACAACAACCAAAATGGCTATGTAACTTTTTTACTTTGCAACCACGTTGTTCTAAAACTAAATCATATATCTATATGTATATCTACATATCTATATACCTATATATATATATATATCTGTAAACACTGATCATCTAGTATCAACTCACTGCAAGGGATTTATTAGCAAAAGCAAAAGTTACTTCTACCTTGCTGGGTGGGTCGTAACAAATCTGTTATTTTTTCCTCTTGCCAGTACACTTACACAAGCAAGCACATCTTTCAGCTGGGAGGTGCATTTAAAGTCTGTTTTAGTCTCAGATGTATCACCAGTTCTAGAAATTTCCACTATTTAAAGCTGAGAAGACATTTCTGAAATTGGCTATATGGCTACAAAGAGTGAAAGGAGCCCATTTTATTCCTTTCTTTCCTGGTAAGTGTTGGTCTAAAGCAAAAACTCAGCTTTTAGTTCTACTGAAGCCTGTAAAATCTTTGGAACTGGAGTTACTGCCAACATAAAAGTCAAAAATAAAACCAAAAACATATTTTTAAAAGTCATATTCACCATGCAGTCTTCTCTAATTACACATTTATTTGGGTCAGGAAAGCTGTGGCGTTTGGAGATTTTTTTTTTTAGTTAATTGAATTAATCACTGGGAAATTTCTTCCTTATGTGGACCAGAGGTTTTGTACACTATTTGATTTATTTTTGTAAGTGTAGATGGAATCACCAGCTCTTTATTGCTACTAACATCCTGCCCATCACCTGGGATTTCCTTGCCTGAAGTGACTGATAAACTGCTCTGTGTTTTTGAATGAACTTCCCCCCCCCCCATCCCCAACTTCATCCTTAAGAACATCTCAAATTCCTTAAAAATGCCTCAATGTCAGTGCAGTTTCCCTTACCTGGTGAGGCTACTCAAACCCAACAAATAATGCTAGTTTTCACAGGACAGAAAATCAGAGAAGCTGTTGACTTTCAAGGCACATCACACAAGAACATGTCATATAAAAAAAAGCAAGAACAAGATATGATATAAACCACTGATATTTAAGGGTAAAAACCATAATTCCTATAGACACTTCAACCTCTTCAAGTCATATACAAAGCATCACAATATTGTTACTGCGGCACATGCCTCTTCTGGTGATGAGGGATTCTTGTCATCTTTTATAAGGCAATGATTCTTCTAGGTCCTCTTTTCCTATATAATTCAATGCAGAACAATATCACCAACTGATTTCTGAAAAAGCCTTTGCAGCTATACAAAATCTCTGAACTTCTAAGGACTTGAAAATCTTAAAAAGAGTATGTGGTGTTTCCATCAGAAATGCCTAGACATGAAAGGGAAGCAATATGAGAAGTTTATCATCAGCACTCTCTGGAGGAGTCTGAAATTACATTTTTTTTCTGTAGACTAGTAAAACAAATAATTACTTTTTGGATCAGAAAGAAATACAAGCTGTCATTGCAATGCCTATTGGAAGGCAAACCCCAGCACACAGAGGTAGTTTTATTCTTTTCCTGAACCCTTCACAAACTGAAGAAGGCTGAGAGGACACACAGTGGATATATGGCAGTGGATAAACATATTCTTTCATATTTCAGTGAGAGTAAGACCAAGATTAAACAGGATGGGATCCATTTGCTAAAATGTAGATAGCTCATGCCATTTTACATATCTTAGGATATCCTACTTGGCCTCCAGCTGCTACTTTGGAAGCATATGGGTCCACTAGAGGGAATATTTCATGTATGCCACTCCCATGCAGATGTCTCAGATACTCTATTCTGGCTAAAATAGCCAATGCTTAGGGTACTGAATCACACTGCTACGTGGGAATTTTAGTCTACCAAAGCAAAGCCCAGCTCAGCCTCAGTCCAGCTAAATGGCTTGTATTTCTCTTGGCACACAGGCAGAACGAACTTGTTCAGTTTTGCCCTGAAAAGACAAGTGCACTTAAGAAAAGACAACATCACTGTAATATGTTGGTGCAGAACCTTCTGTCTGCACTTAGGCTTGCACTGGAATCAGCTTCTGAACATCTAAATCATATTTATTCAAATACTCCATTTTTAACAGTACATATTCAGGGAATCCAGAAAGGCTACTTTTTCATGTTTGAGATGTCCCCTTAATCCTCTCAGATACAGAGAACATTAAACCAGCTTTTTATTTCCCCAAAAATGAAAGGCTTAGGATTTCACATACAGGAAGGAAAATAGAAAAAAAAAATTGGTTTACTATTTTAAACAAAGCTACTCCCTGCATAACTCAGACCAACTTAAAAGACCCATTTTTTTGATTATTCTTATGACTGAGCATTGACAGGAAATAAGCTTGTATACACACATATGATATAAAAATTTCTTTCCAACCTAAGATTACAGGCTAGATTCAGAGAGCTTATGCATGAGGTGTACACGAGGACAGAGGACATATGGAGTCTGAATCCTCTCACATGTGATTTTTGAGCCCAGCCCAGGGGGAAAATTGAGGCAGTCATCATGATCTCACTGGTAAAATCCATTTCCATGCCCAACACACTCCACAGCCTGAACATACATGTCACCTTTTGACAGTACATGTGCTTCCCCAGCAGCCCCATGAGGGATTGTGGCACAGGCAGCACAGCTTCCTTCTCCCTGCCCACTGAGGTAGGTGGGCTTCTAAAAGCCTGCAGACCTTAATTTGCAAATTGATCTGAACTGACTGGCTCTGACTTTTATATTCTTTTTATAAAAACAGTCCCAAAGAGGATACAAAGGACAGCTTTTAATGTGATGACTCATTGTAGGATTTGCTAAAATGTTTATTCAACAAATGAACACATATGTTGCTGTAATTCTGTCTTCCCGGTTTCCTGGCGTGCACATCTTCACCCTGCCAGTGTGAGAACTCAGTGAAGATAGGAAAGGCTGCAGCTTCTGAGATTGTGGGATGGAGAAATGCTCAAGACAGTAATGAAATTTTCAAGTTAGAACAGGATGCCTAGCTGTGACAGAGGAAGACAAAATTGGAATGATTTAAAACTCAAGGCTGCCAGTGAAGAAGCTGAAAGGTTGTTTTTTTCCTGACAATTTTCAAAGGACAGAACTCAGTATAAAAGCCTGGTTTTATGCCAGGCCTAGACATGGGATCTTGCTCCTAAAATCGGGGAGGATTCCTTACTCTTCAGAGTTCTCCCGTTTGGGACAAACACCCTTGTTCTCAGCAAGGCCAAGGGAATTCAGATACCGTCCCAAGGTCACTTTTGTGAATAGCACAGAAGGAAGCTGACCTAAAATTCAGAAAGGAAGCAAACTAGACTGCTTCTGCCTAGCAGCAGTCAGAGGGTCCAAGTCAAATACTGTGGTGCCCTAAAAGATGCCCCAGACTTCTGCAAGCAGCTGCTTCTCCTTCTTTCTGCATGCACCTGCTCCATCCTGCAAGGTGGCTCCAATCCCATTTTCTGGCACTCACAGCTGCAGAAGAGTGTGTGAGTTTTCTGGGTACAGAAACACAAGTGTGTTGGAGAGACTTTTGCCACAGGGTAGAAGGGAAAGTGGGACTGAATCAAGCTGAGTTGGCTGCTGTGTCACAGAAGGAGAAACAGGGCTAAACCCAGCAGCTATAGAGAAAAAGGAAATTAAGGAAAAAAAAAAAAGGAAGAATAAAAAAGGAAGGAAAGGAATGAGACTGGATGGATCTTGGTAGCAAAACAGGTGAGCTGGCCTCATTCTCCTTCTGTGATGCTGGAAGACAGGGAGGCTGACAGAGTCTGCTCTGAGTTGGATTTGGCAGACAAATAAAAGAGTGAGGCGACTCAGACAACTCTGCTGCTTAAACATCTGTTCCTTGTCTCCTTCAGAAAGGAGAGCAGGGTGAACCAGGGAGTGATGCCTGACAGGACAGATTAGCTCACAGGTAGCCTGTTAAACCACACTGCAGCAAAACCAAACCAAACCAAACCAAGAAAAGGTCAGGGTTTCCAGTATTTTATGGCAGGCTTAGCACCTACCTGCTATGAAAGAGCAAGGCACAGTTTGACTGAGTTATTTACACATGGTGTCAGTAGTGACCCCAGTTGCCAAGGGATGCTTGGTATTTATTACACAAAAGCTGTGCCTACCAGCACACACACTGTGCACTCTTTGCTTAAGGTGTTTTGAATTCAGAGTCAAACTATGAAAATAAGGTGCCTTAGGGTTATAGGGCTGAGGTACTTCCTGTTGTTGGTCAATCTTTGAAAACCTGACCAAGGAAGTCAATATGCTTTGTTCTGAATTTATATTTCATACTTGTTTTCTGGTTTGCTAAGCTGGAGGCAAGACGAGTCACAGAAGGAGAAAACAATAGTGCAAGACTGCTGCTCATTATGGCAATAATTGCTTAAAAATTATTCTCCACAGCCTTTCATATCAAAGATTAGCACAAAAAACCACTTCTTTACCACTGCAGTTTCCATGTCTGAGGTTGCCATCTGTCTTGATTATCCTCAGACATCCTGCAAAACTCCTAAGCTCTCCTTTGTGCTTTATTGTGCCATGGAGCTACGGCACATGCCTGAAGCATATAACTGATTTAATTTTCAGCCCCTGGAAGAAAACATTTTACTGTTTGCATTCTTTAACAGGAGAATAAGTAACAGGGCTGGTTTGCCAGTGGGACTGCACT